TCATGTCTCTTCAGGTCTGAGTCTGCCAAGTGCATTTTGGCTTGTACAAGCCCATGCCTGGATCAATGCTGAAATCAATGTGGACCTGAGGATCGTGAGGTTCGCCTACAGAAGCTCCTTACTTCGGCGGGGTATGGCGGTGCCGGGTACTGATCGCTCAGCTCATGGGGGCAAGGCTCTGTTTGGCTCGGGGTGTTCCGAGTCTCACGTCGGCACGTGACACCACAAGTGTGGCCTCTGGCCATTCTCATCCTTTGCCTGCATGGTTGTCAGCTGCTTCATCCTGCGCCAAAACTGAGGGTGCTCAGCTTGTGGAGGGATCCGCTCAGCGCGAGCCCGAGTCACATGTCCTTTGCTTTGCCGATTCCTTGTCATACCTGCCCAAGACAGGCCAGAATGTTTCATGCGTGGGGAGGGGGTCGATGAGGTTCGCCTGTTGCGCCAAAGGACGTTCGGTTTTGAGGCTGTACAAGGCGTCCGTTTCTAGCCTGTGGCTCAACCGATGAAGGCAGAGAGCTTAAAACGCGAATGCCTCGCTCTTTAACTCCCAGGAACGTAAATGCTATCGGAATGCGGTGCCGAATGATGCCGGAAGCCCCAATGCTTGCCGAGGCTACTGGAGCCTAAGACTGCAGAGGCCAGGGACTGCACGCAAGGAGGGCAAGGCCAAACACAGTGGAGATATGACACCCGGGAATGTGGAGGACATTCTGAACTAGTCTCTCACTTCGCCGTTTGTCTACTGAGTCTACTGTCTTCTGTATCCCTGGTGCTACCCGACGACTCCGAAGCTGTTCAAGAATTAGCCCTTGGACAGGTAACTCCATCACATGGAGAGACTGAGTGCTCAACTCAGCGAGTCGCCGCATGTCGCCGCGTGCAGCTTCCGGGCTCCGGAACCCAGGCTGCCGAAAACCAAAGCTTCTCCTCGACGGCAGCCGCGACAGCCTGGAGCCCTGCACATATTGCAACATCATTGGCACAACTCTTTCAGACGTGTTCTTATTTGCGGAACAGGGCCCCAAGCCTTCGTTTGTGCAACAGCACCGCGGGGCAGCAAACATGTAATGCACATACGCAGAGAGATACGCAGGGAGGTAGACGTAAACAGGCGAAGTAAGTGAAGAATCTGCAAATTAAGTCGCCGACCGAATGCTTCGGCCACTCATGTAGAATCTTAAAAAGCCACTCCCGTGGTGGCGATGACGGCCGCAGGTTCAGTGCGCGGCCGCCTCGTACAGCTGGCTCACCTTGTCGTTTGGAGTGAGTGTGCTTCCGTTCACTTTTAGGCAGCACATGATTGCAGCTGGTGCCCAAACCCTAAACGGAGCAGCTCTGTCAAGTTTTTCACATTCAACCCGCGCACCAAGAGACCTCGCAAGGCCTGTCTGAGTTGCGAGAGCATAAACCCTAAACCCTACTCTCATGCATGCGTCTGCCATCTCCTACTATAGTGCTGGTGGGATATGTCATATGTCCCAGTAGCAATCTCGGACGCTATGCGCCATGCCTGCTTTTGCGAGTGTGTAAGTCGAGACCCTACATAAAACCCTAAAGCCCTAAACCCCGCTGTGTCCTAGCTAGGTGGGAGGCAAAAAAACCCTAAAGACCTAAAGCACTAGACCCTAACCGCTTTCCCTCCGGCAGTGTGAAGTCATTGCTTTTGCCAGGCCCGGAGAGTGCAAGCCGAAAGTCAGCGGCAACTTCTTTGCAGTAGTTTAGGGTTTAGGCTTTAGCGGTTCCCCTCCTCAACGGGTGTGGGGTAAATTGAGGCCATGTACCAGAAAGAAATAGGGTCTGCTTTTAATCAAAAGCAAGTTTTAGTGCAAGTTGATGCCATTTACTCATATACCAGAATAGAAGTAGGTATAATCAGCCTGATGCGCAACTCCTAAAACAAAGCCAGGTCAAGATTGAGACTGGAGTGCCACAGATGCCCAGCAAGATTTGAGATGCCGAGGTTTGTGCTGATGAAGCTCCCCAGGCTTGCGGCTAAGCTGACGGCAAGCACTCTTGAGAGTACTGAGATTACACCTCGCTCTTTCATCGCCTTCTCCACGATATCTGTAGATCCGCCTCGCGGAACAAGCCGTTTTCATGTCCAGAACTCTTGCAGCAGTGATTGCCGAGCCAGGGCTGCCTTGCTTCCTTTCTGGATACCGGTGCTTGACGGGAGGCTGGTGAGGAGGTGGATGCCACAGGCCGTCATGCCAAGGGTCAGATCAAATTTTCATTACAGCCTTCATGAAGGCAGTTTCCTAGATTCTTCACCTGTTGCCTCCGCTGAAGATTTGGTCGACGAACCTCCGGAAGCCTTGAGCTCAGATTGCACACGGCGGTTTCCACGCGGCATCTAAAACCGAAGAATCCATGTTTCCAGGGGCCATAAATTCACGGTCCCCTTGTGACGGGGCAGGTGTAATTTCGCTCTGTAGAAGCCAAACTTCCTGAAGCACAGAGAGAAGTAAATGGATCCTGGTGCAAGTCAGGCGCCACCCGAATTGAGCAGGACGACTCCGAAGAACGCGCAGAAGCCATGATCACTTGCGTTATGTTCAGATGTCAGGAGTCGGCTTGTAAGTTACAACGGAAAGGATCTATGTATAGTAGATACTAGATACTATGGCTTACTTGTTATAACTCCTTAACAAGAACGAGCAAACGGTTCCTCGGCGAGGACTCAAGACCTGCTCGAATCGCCATGTGTACCATCGGTGCCATCAGTGGAGCAACCAGAGGACGGCGGGCACATGTGGCAGATACTCAGATACTGGTCTTAGCTAGCGGAGTGGCAGAGGCACGCGAAGGAGATGGACAACGTCTCTCCGCCACAAAAAGACACGAAGTCCCCGTTTTCTTTGTTGGAATCCGCGCCCTTGCGCGAGCGAGAAGGCAGATGAGTGAAGAGTCGGATCTGCTCAGCTGCAGGAAGAGGCGAGCTGCCTCTACGACTCCGACGATGAGCTCCCCTGTGCTGCAGTCTCGGTGAGGGTCGGGCAGAGGGAATCTTGGGTACAGAAGTTTCGGATTTTATGATTCAGCGTTTGGGATCGGCATCAATAGCCTAACGAGTTTGATCCAGACATGTGCTGCATCCCCACGGATTTCAGTATGGAAGTCTACGGAATGCTTCGTATGACTCAGCATAATCGGTAGTGCAGTCAAGCGTAGTCGCCGAAGTAGTTGAACAGTTGTGCCTTTGGGAGCGCAAAGCAATAAACTCCCTGAACCTTCTATCCGGGCTCTTCCGAATCAATGGCAGTTGGAATTTGGGAACCCCGAACCCTCCGACCTCGCACCATGAACCTCGCCTGGCTAGTCCGAGTTGTGAGAGCGTAAACCCTAAACCCTGAACTCAACCCAGCAATGCGGGCTCGTCCTTGCTAAGTGGGAGGGAAAGAAACCCTAAACGGAATTTGGGAAGCCTTTTGTTGCTATTGAGATTGTTGTGGTCGAGGCCCCGCCTGAGGAGGCGGCGATGCAAGAAAAACAGGACTAGTGAGTAAGGGGTTTAGGGTTTAGGGTTTAGTCTTGGGGTTCTCAGACCTTTGTTCCGGCCTAGATGTTGAGCTACCCCGCGTGCAGGACTTGCTGCCAGTCGAGCAGTCCTTGGAGCTGTTGGAAGCATCCCTGTTGTCCGCAGGCCCACGCTCTGTTCGGATCTACACTAGACTTGAAGTTTTGTAAGGGCCTCGGTAACATACCCGGTAATTTTTTTTCGAATCTACAAGGCCCCTACATTGCATCGCTCGCTAGGTTCGTCTTCACTGAGCCTGAGCGACTCAATCGGACCGGCTGGCAAGGTTTTATCGGAACCCGAACTTGGCAAATATGGGAGTTTCAAGGAAAAAGGGACGCTCTATAGTAGGATCCTGATCATAAGGGCCCCCAAACAGGGTGCCCTAGATTTCTCGCTCTCGTCACAGGAATGAGATATGGCGCCCTCACCAAAACTCCAAGCTGTGAGAGTCGAAACCCCATATATGCAGAACCCTAAACCCTACACCCTGCAATGCGGGCTCGTCCTTGCTAAGTGGGAGGGAAAAACACCCTAACCATGTCCGAGTGTGAGTGCTGAAACCCTAAACACCCTAAACCCTAAGGATCCTTCGACAGGTCGGCGCCCGAACATGTCGAAGGCTCCAGCCGAAGGTGACGAAGACCTTTCTCCGGCTCTGGCTGAGATCTCAGTGGGTTTAGGGTTTCAGAGGGTCGAAAGTTCAGGGTTAAAAACAAGTGTCCATATGCGTTCTCTACAGCGTTGGTGACGACTTGCGCACCCCCAAAAGATATCTTCTCGGTGCGAGAAAATTTCTTGTGTTTGTGATTGACGCCTGTGCACGTAGCCGGAGTCTTTGTTGGCTACCCATCAAGACATGACAGAAACTCGGGCATAGGCGCCGCTTCTTGGAGAGCTCCCCCATCCTCAATGAGCATGTACATATACATATACAGCCTTAGACAGCTGCATATCTTTCTACGTATCAATGTACACATATGCATACGTGTATGTGTATGTATATAACTGTATATACATACAGTATCTGTCCATATACATACATACATAGAAACATACATACAGACCCGGCAACCTGTTGTATAGAGAAAAAGGTACAAAAGATAAAGTCTACAGGCACATAGTGCCCCTCGTTTCGAGATGTGAGAACTCTTGGCCGAGGCACCGGGAGAATCTGCGGCACACGAGGACCGGCAAGATGTTGTTCAGCGGTCGGCAACGCCCCATGCGTACCGGTCGCAGGACCAGGAGTTGTCAGCATTTTTAGCGGCGTCCCTGGCTTCCGAAGGTGCGCCGGGTCGGGAAATTCACGCCCAAGTTTGCCTTTTGTCCGATTGAACCAGCTGTCTGCCGAAAAGCATAAATGGTAGCAGCGAGAGTGTGTGCGGAGTATCGGTGTTTGCCTCTTACTTTCTTCTTGTTCTTGTTCCGATATTTGCTTGTAAGGCCATTTCTTATTGCATTCATTGCAACCTTGGCAGGGATGGCATCGTCCCTGCCAGAAGCGCCGGAGGACGTTCTGCAGTCGACAGCCACTTTTTGCCCTCAGTGGTGCCCTCTCATGCATTGGAAGCAATCGAAGCGGTCGTTGTGGCACCAGCCACCAGTAGCACGGTGAGGTGAAGTAGGGAATGCAGAGAGGCCGCAGCTGATGCTTCTTGATGGCTTAGTATCCAAGTGATCGCGCAAGGGGAGCCCGTAGGATCTTGGCACATTTTGACAAGAGCTTCTCGGAAGTTCTACCGTTTTACGACAAGGGAAGCAGACACCTGCACGTCTCACAAGTCCATTTGCCAGGAGGACTGTGGATGCGTCCGGCTAGAACCAAGAGATGCAGCAGAAGTTGAGGGACAGAAAGAAGTGAGGAGCTTAGCTGCCACGGGACGAGAACAGCCCTTTGTAAGACGCCTTCGGTGTATGTCCTTAGGTGGCCAACCTTCCGGAGAGCCTGCCGGCCAAGAAGGAGACTTCAAAGATTGCATTGGCCTTGACGCTGCTTGTCCAATGCACTATCTCAGCACCGCTCGACGTCGACGACAGACATTGCTGAAGTCTGCTTGTCATTCTGCCTTTGGATGGCATGCTCAATCTCGAGACATCCGTGAAATCAAAAGAGGCAGTCCAAACTGAGCCCCGAGTCAGGCAAACACGCCTCCGTCACATGCATTGAAGAACGGCGAACCTGCCAGCGCATGACAGCATTGAAAGCATTGGGCACAGACACAACTCGTGCACAAAGACGTGGAACACCGACAGCACACGGCCAAGCTGCATGAAAGCTGTCGCCGGCCATGGCGGAGGTGTCGGCCGGTTGCGACAATCCGGCCTCAAGCTACACGGCTGCAGCTGATTGCAGACTTGTACTTGTAGCGGGCCAGTTTGGCGGCCTCCGTGCAGCCGACACTGTGACATAATGTAGTATTATACTAGTTTTTCAATAAGACGACAATATACTTATTAGCATTACCCTGCAACTTAAATTAAAATGCTGTAACGTAGCTGGTGCCCGCTAGGTGTGGACTGGCCATGGCTGGGGAAGGACTCCTCCTCAGTCCGGCTCATGCATCGAGATAACCATGCTCCATATTTTCGTGTTTTGCTTTTTTTTAAATCTTGTTACGTTGTTATTAATATTAAAAATAATATTATTACTATAGGGGCATTACTATTTTTATTTTTAGACGTACTAATATTTTTGTATTATCATTTCTTTTTCCATATTGTTTGTTTCATTCTTCTTCCTTCGTAGTACTATTATACTTCTTCCTAGTCTCTGCGATTGTTGCTAGTATTAGGCCCTAAACTCTAACCCTTGTGTGAGAGTCGAAAGCCTAAATAGTATAGGAGCTGGCATCCTGGAGCCGCGGGCCGGCTCCGGACTCGACCCTTGGCCTGTCTCAGTCGAACAAAGTGCATTGTAGGCCGAAAAAGACAAAGTTCTGCTAGAACATGGGCAGTTCGGCTGTAAGGGTTTTCTTAGGGTTTAGGGGCGAGTGGGATGACCGGCGTGCCGCAAATGACGTTTACTGCAAGTCAAACTCAACGAAACTCGCTTTTGGGATGGGCTGACCCGAAAGCGCAAAAAATCAATGCAAAAGTGCTTGCAAAAACGCTACAGCTGGCGTCATCTAAACCAGCGAAGTACAAGCACCTTAACGAAACATTCATAACCGGTCCACAACCGGCACCCTCATTCAAATCTCGTCCCAACCCCTCCCAAAACCAGATCCCCAAGGCCCATGCGCTGGATGACCCTTTGTGTGGCAGCGAACTGGATCGCGCGAACCCCGCAGGCCCAGTCTGTCAAGTGGACTTTGTCGTCAGTTCTGTCGGAGCTAGTTGCGACAGCATAGAACCCAGCAATCAGAAATTACGAAAGGTAGTGCAAAGCAGGGGAGCTGAGAAGAGCAGATCATCGCTGTTGCTGTGAGAAGCCATAGCACCCCAATGTGCCCAATTCCCATTCTTATAGTATAAGTCTGATGAGTGCATCATATAATATATATATAGAAAGTACAGCGTAGCAGTCTATTACATATGATATTGTTGGTACAGTATACTATACCCAATCCCTGGTGCTCCAGGTGTGGGAAGGTTGCATCATTGGGATCGCTTCTGCTGTGCTGCACTCGTCCTTTTGCGCCGAGCCCGGTCCGGATCGATACCCGGCTGAAATGTGGTTTAAAGTACACACACACACACATGGGTATATAATTCTCTAAATTAGGGTCCCTTTTTAGGTCCTCAATATAGTACGGCACCCTTATAAAAAGGACCCTAAAAGGGACCCTAATTTACAGAGCTACCCACATGTGTGTGCTAGTGGAGACTGCAGGAATGGATCGACGGATTGATGGGTGGATGTTGGGTACCTCTTGGAAGTCTTTGTGAACCTGAGGGTGAGCTTGTGTGCACAGGGATCATGACAGACTGGTCATGCCCAGAAGAAGCAGAAGATATGTGTGGCAAGCAGTGACAAGAGTTCAGGCATTGCGACTTGAGAGTGGCCTAGTTTGGATGCTTTGTAGGTCACCCCGTGTCCTTTCCAGGGTCCTACCTTTTCCGACACGCCATCGAGGGTGTCTCTTTGGAGGGATGGGCAGGACAAGTTTGTTGCTCGGCAATGTCTATTTTATGCACCGTCCAGCTGCGATCGCTTTGGAAAACTCACGCTCGCAACACTGGGCTCAGATGTAAATGCGGTTGCTGCCAACTGTATTGAGTCCCTTCAGCCGCTTCCTGCAGCTGTCTTGTGATTTGTGGCAGAAACGCCTGCCACCGTACCGAGGCCGTAGCAGTCAAAATGCAGCTGTGCCGTTGAGTTTCGCAGGACTGGTCCTTGAAACTGACTGGCCATTCTTTTCGCTGATCGATGCTCGACCTGTACTGGTAGCAACTGCAGAGACCTTCGATTTTGCAAACACATCATAGTTGTAGCGAAAAAAGTTATGCCGCGGCATCATGTGCATTGCCCATTCTGAGGAGAGCCATGCGCGGCTAATGCGCCTCGCTTGACAGAAGCGCGCGGAGCATGGGCTCATGTGCACGCACAAATTTCGCCTTGGGACAATGCTTGCTAAGGAAAGCTGGGTCGTGGACTGGACAGGAAGGGCTGTTCACCAACCAGGCAAGCCCGAGCCAACTGCCATCAGTTCTGGGTAGTCCTGCTTTTGGACCGCGTCCACGTTGAGAGCTGTTGTCGCAGTGGTTGAGGGATGATACCAAGAATCGCACATTATACTTATGTATGTATGTATATATGTATATGTATATACATATACATATGTATGTGGACGTGGATGTGGATGTGGATGTGTGTGTATGTATGAATGTAGGCATATGTATATGTATATGTAAATGTATATGAGTGAGTGAGTGAGTGAGTGAGTGAGTGAGTGCTTGTGCGTGAGTGTGTGTGTGTGTGTGTGGGTGTGCGTCACTGTCTGTGTCTCTGTGTGTGTGTGTGTCAGTCACTCTCTGCGTGTGTGTGTGTGTCACTGTGTCTGTGTGTGTGTGTGTCACTGTCTGTGCGTGCGTGTTTGTGTCTGTGTGTGTGTGTGCGCGAGCGTGCCTGCGTGCCTGCGTGCCTGGGTCTGGGTGGGTGTGGGTGGGTGTGGGTGGGTGTGGGTGGGTGTGGGTGGGTGGGTGGGTGTGTGTGTGTGTGTTTGTTTGTGTTGTTGCTTCTCTATAGGGGCCCGCACTTTTTTTTTCCTAACGTTGGCTCAACCGAGAGCCAACGTTACCAAGGGCCGCCGGGGACCGCCAACGTTAGGAGAAAAAAAAGTGCTCCGCCCTTCTCTATAGGGCCGGATGATGAGAATGCAGGATAAGGTCCAGTGACCTCAAAATCCGCTCGGAGGCCAGGCAAAAGTCAAGGGCGCCAACTGCCACTCTACTCACTGAGACATAACTGCTACCCATACTCATAGCATAGTATAGTATAGTAAAGTATATGAGACTGTAGTTCTTCAAGTTCAGTTCTATGTGCTTCTTTCAGGAGCTCCCAGCATGCGGAGACCGGGGCGAAGGCATAGCCTTCGGTCCTTCATGATTGTTGTGCTGGTAAGCATGAGCGCTGCGTGCATAGATGAGCTTTGTCCGCTGCACCAATCTGGCGCAGATCGCCCTGGTCACGAGCAAACCGTGTTTCGAGCGGCGACGCAAATGGCTGAGAAAGGCCTGGATCGCAATTCGATCGCTCGTGAGTCTGGGGACGCCCGTGTTGTGAGAACCACTGGATGTTCTTAATTTCCCGTGATTCTAGTATAGCACATGGCAGCACAGTACGCTTGAGCATCCTGATGTATACTGTTGGTCACTCAGCCCGAGGCCATTTCCTGCTGGACGGGCCTGAAGTTGTCGATGGCCTGAACGAGGCGTGCGGCCAACCCCTGCCGCATTTCTGCCGCACAGCAGGCTTCTCGTGAGTTTCGGGAGGGTTGAGCAGGGAGAGGTGACCAGATATTATGTTCAATGCCAGGCGGGATCTTCTGCTAGTTCAGGCCGCGCGAGAAAAGGAGTCTTGTGAGGACAGCAGTGTGCGTTATTCTCGGAACAAGATAAACTCAGCTGCGTGTTCACCAATCATCCATGCTCATTTTGTTAACTTGCGATAGCATGTCAACTTACGAAGCCACATCGTAGTTGAGGCATGATTTCTCCAGTGCCACGGCATGCCTTCTCAAGGCTGGCGGCTCGGGATCTGCTGGTGCCCTGCACCCCACTCCCCGACCCCAAGACCAGCAGAGCTGTTGCCCAGTCGTTGGCGTCAGGAGTCAGAAGAACATTGTGACAAACACCGTGCTACGTTGAGCTGGCACTGTCACTTGCTAAAAATTAAAACTGGCAGGCTGCCGTTTCGCCATCTGTGGCACGCTCTGCGCTGGTGTCAGCAGCAGAGGACGCGGTCATGGGCTGCCTTGCAGGGAAGGCAGGTCTCACGGGGTTTGCTCACCACAACAACAACAACCGCAGCAGCAGCAGCAGCAACAACAACAGCAACAGCAACAGCAACAACAACAGCAGCAGCAGCAGCACCAGCAGCCGCAGCAGCAACAACAACAACAACAAACCACTATAGCAGAATACACAATGACATACCACAAGACTGCCGCAAAATGCTTGCCCCTGAAGTCTATACATGTCAAGGCGCTGCTTCCGGCTTTGCTGCAGACGCCATGGCCGCTTGCCACCCTGCTCAAGCCCCTTGGACCCAGCTTGGACCCCTTGGCCTGGTATGTTCTGAAGGAGCAGAGTGAGTCGTGGTGGTGGTGACAGCGGCATCAACGGGAATTAGAGTGGTTGGAGTCGTAGTCCTCGTCCTCGTGCTAGTGGCTAGTGATAGAAGTTGGCAGTAGTCAATCAATGAAGAGGAGAGGGTGCCTCCTGCTCTTTGCTCAAGTTTCCAGTGCCTCACGGAACGACGTGCACGATTTACGCCAAACTAAGCAGGACCTCGAGTCGTCGTTCGTGGACTCTGTAGAGCCAAAAACGAACTACCGGAGTCCTGAGGATGCTGCAGCAGAAGTCAGCAGTGGCTCAAAGCCAGCCAGCTGCTGAGGCACTGCCGAACCAGAAGTGTTCCACCGGGTCCATCCTCATGTCGCAACATGTCGCACGATGTTTGCCTCTGATTTTGCGGCTGCTCTGCAACCTACCTCTTACCTCCACGAGGCTAGGATGCTAGGCTTGCTCGTGAAAACCGAATACTGTACTGGTTTCTTGAACTGTGGCCAGAACCGCGGGCTGACCTGGATGCTTGGCTGCATTGGAGCTCTTGGGGCTCAGCTTATCCATCGTTTCGTCACGTTTCGTAGCTCGTCTGAAGGATGCCAACCGACGCTCCAGGCGACTTCGCCACGGTTTGGGAGACGCTCGAGCTGCAGTCAGCTGTCAGCAGGGATTGCAATACGCACAACACATTTGCTTACTTCCAGCACCGGCAAGACAAATGTCCAAGCTGTAGAGTTTTGCCATATGACAGCTTATCGGAGAGAGCGGGTGCCCACCAAACGGCGCGTAAGATCAATTTCTGGGCCCTGCTTGTTGGATCTTTCGCAAACACGCTTCACACACCCGCGATGCGAAGGCAGAAGACTGATGTGCACTACCCCTGGGTGCAGCAGCTTGGCGAGGTTCGGTGCGAGGGATAGAAATGGGGTCCCGCAGCCTTGTTTGCTAAGCATCGGTCTTGGTTCCTAACTGAATGCCATCGGCTGGCGTCGATGCTGAGACATTTAGCAAAGCTACCGCGACCATGTCTAAGTCATCTTGACGGTAGCGACGACAGCTGCGCTTGCTAGCCGCATCATTGCTTTGCAGTGCTGCTGGTGCTGCTCGGTGGAGGGCTGTCACTTTGCCAGACCTTGCCACTCAGGTTTGTGGCACGAGCGCTGGGGCCAGAGCAGCTGGTGCTGCCCCTTCGACTCATTTTTGAAAATGCTTTTGCACGCGACGAACATGCAGAAATACAGTGCGAATCACTACGAGGATAAGCAAGCCCGAGGGACTCGACAAAACAAAGACAGACAGGACCACACACTGTGAAAAGCGAAGCACGACACGACCAATACAGTCAGAGCATGGGGGGCCCACTGTTGCGTGAACACCAAGCCGCCCTGACCCGCGGCGATGAGTACCTTTGAGTTCCGAAGCAGCAAATCTGATCCACATGATGATTTGGTTAGCAAAAAGCAGAGGCCTACAATGGGAGAGGGAGAAACCTGGGAGGAAAGGATGGAAGCTAAATGCCTGAAGGCGAGCGAAAGAGGCGAGGGGCGAAGGGGGTGGGGAAAGTTGGGGCGCGGGGGCCGTGTGGCGGACGTACGCGCTGGGATAGTACAAAGCATTGTCAAAGCTGATGGAGGGATGGGGTGGAAGGGATCACCCGAACAGCGCAGGGAGGGGGAGAGATGGGGAGAGGAGGTGGGGGGCGGGGAAGGAAGAAATAGTTGGGTTTGGGAGGTATGTGTGAGTTGGGAGCGGGGAACGAAGGAGAGAGAAAGGGTGGGCACTGTGGGCGGTTGGGGGGGGGGGGGGGNNGGGGGAGCGTGAGCATAGCGAATGGGGCACGAAGGACCTCCAACCGCCGTCCCCGGCAGGGTCGGCGGATAAATATTGTTATAGTATGCTGTACCACACAACCCTCTTCCAATAGTTCGGGTTTCTCATTAAATCATGATACTGTAATGCACACCAATATAATATACCCCAAAATCGTCCTGATTTTTTTAAGTTAGTAAGGCCTATAATTTGTTACTAGTTGCTAAATCCGCCCTCAGGCCTTTGCCTTGGCCGCCCAACACCAGCTTCCAGGCGTTGAAGAACGAGGCCCACCTTTCCGCCGCTTTTCTAGCGCTGAGGGGGGAGAGTCGAAGTTAGAATGTAGGAACCTGATTATGAAACCCTGGTCCTACAACCCCAGAATCATAGGATCCATTCAATGAACCAATAATAAAGAGCCAAGGTGTCTGAAGCAGGTTCCCATACGTGTGAAGGGCTTTATGAAGGCCTGGACCCGACATGCCCTCCTGGCATAATATGGTACTCCGACCCAGCGACCGAGCCCTTGCTCAGGCGCTGATGTTATTGGAGCGCTTCGCTGTCACCAACTACCCGGGCCCATCCAATGACCGTGAGACATGGAAGAAGCCCGGCAGACCGTGCTTGTTGCGTTCGATCGAAGCCCGCAGAGGCAGTGGCCACACTGAAAGAATTATTTTCGATGCGTAGAGAAGTCTAGCGCATGTTCAAGGCTGCCTCAGTACAGAGAATGTATGCTTGTGCAGTCGGTCTGTACATTTCAGTGACACCGGCTCCGCTGTGGTGTGGTTTCTTGTCTAGTGACAGGGCCATGAACTGAGCTTGGCATGGCTTTCCTTCGAACCACCCAGCTGCCCCTCCGTGCTTGAGCTTCACGAAAGGACGCTCTGTCTGGTCTGCAAAGACGGATCACAAGACCCAACCACGGAGAATGCGACGAAGTTTGCCCCAACCGAAGCGCTTCGAGAAGCCCCAGCGCCTCGGCGAATAGTGCTAGTAATATCGATGATGACAATAGGATAGAAAGAAAATACAGAAACTAGAAATGTTTACAGCAAGCTAACGATACTTCGAATTACAAACATAGTCACGAATCTGTTTGCTCGCGCGCTTGCGTGTTGCTCCATCGGGTGGATTTGGGCTAAAGATCCCATGAGCCCTCAAGGTGGGCTTGCTGCCTCGGATACGAACACATCAGATTCGTGTATGGCATGCTCTGGTAAGAGGTGTTTTATTCTGTCGCCTTTCTTTTCACATGTATTTCTCGGTCGGTCTCCTTGCTAGTTATATACTTTAGGCGCTTCCTCTAACAATAACTCTTTATGGGGCTTTGGGTAGCAATAGAACACTTAAATCTGACTTATTGGGGTACCGATGTGAACACTTAAATTTCGACAAGTGAACACTGAAATCTGGACAAGTGAACACTTATTTGGGTACCAAAGTGATCACGTAAATCTTACTTGGTGAACACTTACCCTGGCCCGGTGAACACTTGTTTTGGTGGCAAAGTGAACATGTTCAAGATCCCAGAAATAAGTGTCCACCGGGCCAGGATAAGTGTTCACTTTCCCACCAAAATGGAAATTCACCATTGTGGTGGGAAAGTAAACAGCAGGACAAGTGCTCACTTTCCCACCAAAACAAGTGTTCACCGGGCCGGGATAAGTGTTGACTTTCCCACCAAAATAAGTGTTCACCGGACCGGTATATGAGTAGTGTTCATTTTCCCACCAAAATAAGTGTCCACCAGGCCAGGATGTGTGTTCACGTTCCCGACAGTACGAGTTCAAAACCATACCCAAATATAGCCAGCCCACCCCGTCTAAAGAGAGGGGTCGGTGTACTGTTACAGGCAGGGTCTAAGAAAAACTGTTACATGGTGCCGGGAATTTAGAACAATTATGGCACCATGTTGGTAGGCTTGGTCAACCTTGGTCGAAAGCAAGTTGCCAGCAATCTTGGTCATTTTTGCAACCTGGGTCATCTTGCCCCACTTGCTTGCCGACAGCTTACCATTTAGACCAAGATTGGCCAAGCTTGCTGGCAACCTTGCTCCACCCCCAAGTGGGGCAAGATTGCTTGGCAGACTTGCTCTAATCATTGTTCTACATTCCCGGGTGCCCAGGAGCTCCAGAAGTTTGTCGCACTGTTCGGAAAGACCGGCAACCCACCTGCAGGTAAGTTCTTCAGAAAGGGACGAGGAGGCAAAAATCCAGCAGGTGGATCCTTTTGCTTGGCTTGGAAAGCGCAGCAGGACATGTTGGGGCTGATTTTCCGGATGCAATCAAGGGCTGTGACTGTGGCCATATTTGAGAAGGGGTCGGTCGCAGCACTTCTTCACCAGATTGCAACAGTGAATCCCACCCGCAGTGCGCTCGGACAACGTTTGCTCATGGCATTCAGGTCGGGTGCGACTGAGCCTCCTCCTGCCAGGTGGAATGATCGCCGCCTGTCAGTGGATTGAGCGCAGTGCCTGCTCTCTAGCAGTTTCCACGAGCCTACCTCAACACGGGATCGATGAGTTACATTGAGCCTGTGACAGCAGGGCTGGCATCCGGATGACGGAGTGCTGGAAAACGGCCGCTTGATTCTCCATGCCAGGGCCTGAGGGAGTCTAGCCTGTGCTGAACCTCGGAACGACTACTGCAAACGGCGGAAGAAAGATTGAATGCTGGCTTCAGGTGCCGATCATGACTAGTCGCGGAGCTTTGACCAGAGTCGGCCACCTCCTTCTCCATGTTCCTGAAGGCAGCGGAGACGCACTGTATTCGAATCTTCGACCTACACTTCAACTGCAACCTGTGGTATTTGCTGCATGGATGGTTACACTTAGCTGGGGCGACAGAGGGCAAAGGCATTAGCAGCTTTACGATGCATGGCCTGACCTGTGCTGCACATGATGGCTCGAGACGAACTGCAGGTGTGATCCACTGGTGTGACTACTCGCTACCACACAGTGTCTTCAACGCAGACGATGAGCCTCTCGCTTACAGGTTTATTTAAAGATCTTGGCAATGGCCGTGGAAAGCTGTTCGCAAGTTAGCAGACGGCAAATCACTCCATGCCAACTTCACGGTCGATCGTGGACTTACCAGTAGTCCACCTTTGCCGATGTGCCGAGCTAAGGGTTCGCGTGCACTTGATCATTGATGTCGTGGCGAGAGATAATGAGGAGCGGGGAGTTTGTCCAGCACAGCCGTGGCCTGCAAGTCAACAGCCTTTGTCTGTATGTTCTTCGGGCTTCGAGCCGTGGGACGGGCTGCTGAGCCGATTGTCAGCCCTTGTCAAGGCCTTGCCAGTCTTAGTCTCGTGGGGGTGCTCTGAAAGCTGCATCAGCCTAGATTCTGGGTAACGGTAGAAAAGAATGCTAGAGCCCATGCAATCCCAAATCCTTATCGCCTCCCAGGACTTCCTGCGTAACTTCCTCGATCCGATGGAGCCGTCGCTGCGGGAAGCATTGCTTGACAATGCTTTGCCAGGGCTTCCTACAGACCCCGAGGCCAGGTTCCCATCCCGATTACGATGAACTTCGCTGTCGCCACGACCAGTACTGCCAGTGCTGCTGCGCCTGCTAATTACTGCTACACTTTGCCACGACTACAGCTACGGCCATAGCTTCTACGACGACGACTACTACTAACTGCTACTCCTACTGCTGCCCCTGCTACTGCTACTGCTACTGCTACTGCCGCCACGACCACTACCGCCGCCGCCGCGGATGCTGCTGCTGCTACTCCTACTCC